TTCTTCCTCTTCTAGTTTTTGGAATCCTTTGAGAATGACAGGTATTAACTCTTCTTTAAATGTTTGATAGGAGGTATTACCTATGAAGTCATGTAGACCTGGATGTTTATTTGTTGGGAGGTTTTGGGTTTTTGTTTTTTTTTTTTAAAGATTTTATTTATTTATTTGACAGAGAGACAGAGAGGGAACACAAACGGGGATTGGGAGAGGGAGAAGCGGGCTTCTTGCTGATCAGGGAGCCTGGTGTGGGTCTCGATCCCAGGACTCCAGGATCATGGCCCACGCTGAAGGAAGATGCTTCATGGTTGAGCCACCCAGGCGCCCCTGTTGGGAGTTTTTTGATTACAGATACACTTGCTCTACTAGTAATTGGTCTGCTCAGATTCACTATTTCTTCCTGATTCAGTCTTTGAAGATTGCGTGTTTCTAGAAATTTATCCATTTCTTCTGTGTTGTTCAACTTGTTGGCATATACTTTTCATAGTAGTCTCTTAGAATCCTTTGTATTTCTGTGGTGTTAGTTGCAACTTGTCTTTAATTTGCGATTTTGTTTGAGTTCTTTTTTTCTTAATAAGTCTGCTAAAGGTTTATCAATTTTGTTTATCTTTTCGAAGAACCAGTTCTTAGTTTCATTTTTTTTAAGTCTCCAATTATTGATTTCTACATAATCTTTGTTATTTCCTTCTTTCTACTAACTTTGCTCTCCATTTTTTTTCTTGTTCCTGTAGGTTGAAAGTTAAGGTTGTTGAGATTGTTCTTATTTCTTGAGGTAGGCCTGTATTACTTTAAACTTGCTCTTAGGACTGCTTTTGTTGCATCCCAGATTTTGAACCATTGTTTCCATTTTCATTTCTCCGTGTATCTTTAAAATTTCCTCTTTGTGGGGTGCCTGGGTGGCTCAGTGGTTAAAGCCTCTGCCTTCGGCTCAGGTCATGATCCCAGGGTCTTGGGATAGAGCCCCCGCATGAGGCTCTCTGCTCAGTGGGGAGCCTGCTTCCTCCTCTCTCTCTCTGCCTGCCTCTCCTGCCTACTTGTGATCTCTGTCAAATAAATAAATAAAATCTTAAAAAAAATAAAATTTCCTCTTTGAGTTCTTCCTTGATCCATGGATTGTTTAAGAGCATGTTGTTTAGCCTCCCATGTGTTTGTGGTCTTTTCCAGGTTTTTTTTGTTTTTGTTTTTGGTTTTTTTTTGTTTTTTGTTTTTTGGGTTTTTTTTTGGCTGTAATTGAGTTCTAGGTTCATAGTGCTGTGAATGGAGAAGATGCTGCATCTTAAATTTATTGAGACTTGTTTTGTGGCCTAACATGTAATCTGTCCTGGAGAATGTTCCAGATGCACTTGAAAAATACATATATTCTGCTGCTCATGGATGGACTGTTCTGTACATATTTGCTAGGTCTGTCTGGTCTGATGTTATTTAAAGCCACTGTTACCTTATTGATTTTATGTCTGGATTCTCTGTCCATTGATATAAGTGGGGTGTTAAAGCCTCCTACTATTATTGTATTACTGTCAGTTTCTCCCTTTGTGTCTGTTAATATTTGCTTTGTATATTTAGGTGCTCCTGTGTTGGGTGCATAGATATTTACAGTTGTTGTAACCTCTTGTTGGATTATTCCCTTTATATAGTGCCCTTCTTTGTTTATTGTTACAGTCTTTGTTTTAAAGATCAATTTGTCTGATAATAGTTTTACTATCCCAACTTTCTTTTTACTTCCATTTGTGTGGAATATTTTTCTTTATATCCCTTCACTTTCAGTCTGTACCTGTCTTTAGGTCTGAAGGGAGCCTCTTAATAGGCAACATATAGATGGCCCTTGTTTTTTATTCTTGGAATCACCCTTGCCTTTTTTTTTTTTTTTTTAAGATTTTTAAAATTTTTTTTCTTTGTCAGAGCGAGCGCGCAAGAGTGCACAAACGGGGGAGAAGCCGGCTACCCACTGAACAAGGAGCCTGATGTGGGACCGATCCCATTACCCTGAGCCAAAGGCAGACACCCAATGACTGAGCCACCCAGGCGTCCCTGAATTACCCTTGTCTTTTGACTGGAGCATTTTGACCATTTACTTACTTACTTAATTTATTAAATAGGGTCCACACCTAGCCAGGAGCCCAGTGTGGGCCTCAAACTCATGACCCTAAGATCAAGACCTGAGCTGAGATCAAGAGTTGAACGCTTAACTCACTGAGCCACTCAAGTGCCCCATTTTTTTAAAGACGATTTACATTTAAAGTAATAATGTATAGGTGACATTTTGTTCATTGCTTTCTGGTGGTTTTTGTCATTTTTTTCTCCTCTCTTCCCTTGTAATTGATGACTTGTGTTTTGCTAGGATTCTTTTCTATTTTCTTGTGGATTTATTATAAGTTTTTGGTTTCTGGTTAGCTCAAGTTTCATATGTAGCATCTTAAGGATATAGCAGTCTATATTAAGCTTATGGTTGCTTAAGTTTGAACACATTCTAAAATCATTATTAAATCCTCCCCGTGTATGTATATGTATATGATGTCATATTTACATCTTTATTTTGTGACTCTCAACAAATTTTATAGGTAATTGATTTTACTCATCTTTTAACTTTCACACTAGTTTTATAAGTGATTGGTTTATTACCTTTATTATATGTTTGCTTTTAACAGTGAGGTTTTTTTGTTTTGTAATTTTCTTCCAGTTACGGCCTTTTCTTTTTGGCTAAAAGTCCCTTTAACATTTCTTCTAATTTGTGTTGTGCTGGGGCAGCCTCAGTGGGATGTTTGGAGCTGAGGCAGGTGCCTGTGGTGGAGGATTCCTCGGGGACAGCTGCAGCCAGTGTGGGTGGGGCTGGAGGCCGCAGGCCAGCTAGCGTGCCTGCTCCCATCTGCACTATCAAGGCAGAGGGGGAACGTAAACAATGGTGCTTCCTAGCACCTTCTAACCAGAGAGAGTTCCAGCAGTTCTCCCACCATTTAGCAGTTGTTCTAGCATTAGTATATGAGGTGTTCTTCACTTATAGTCTGTTGGCCTTTTATTTTATTTTACTTTTTTAAGATTTTATTTACTTGAGAGAAAGAGAGTGAGAGAGAGCACGACAGGGAGGACGGTCAGAGGGAGAAGCTGACTCCTGGCTGAGCAGGGAGCCCCACCAGGGACTCAATCCTGGAACTTCAGGGTTATGACCTGAGCCAAAGGCAGTCGCTTAAGCCAATTGAACTACTCAGGCGCCCTCTATTTGCCTTTGAAACTGATTGGGGTTTTTTTTGCCTTGCCCCCAGGCTGGGTGAATCTGTGTGTGGGCCTCGCAGTGCTGTCCCTCCCCACTGCAGTCCTAGCATCAGGTGCTGTTCCTGTTGTTACTTTGTCTCTGTTTCCTGCCATTTTCTTTGTGGTCCCTCTATCTTTTGCTCTGCAGAAGCTGTTCAGTCAGCCTTCAGTTCTTCTTCAGGCAGAATTACTCTCTGTGTATAGGTGTAGATTTTGTGTATTCCTGGAGGAAGTGAGTTCAGGGTCTTTCTGGACAAGTTTGCTTTAATGCCTTTTAGTTGCCCTGTTGATCTTAATGCTTGCCTGGTGGGAGTATCATTGAAGCTTTCAATATATGATCTTTAGACTAGGTCTTGTCAGTTATAAGTAAGTTTTTATGTCTAAGGATATTAAGGACCAGGGGTCTGATAATTCTGTTAATTTGAGCAAAGCCATTTTCTCTCTCATCTGTAAAATGAAAGAGGCTGAGCTTAAACTCTGCTTCCTAACTTTAAATTTTATTTTTTTTTAGATAGAATATAAAAGGATGCAGTTTTATTGGTTTGTAACTCTTAGCTCCTATCTTTTAGAATTTAATATAAAAGGATGTGATTTTATTGGTTTGTAACTCTTAGCTCCTGTCTTAATCTCCAGGTTATTTTGGAGAACCATCTATAAACCTGCCACTGTGGCTTTACTCTATCAGATAGAAAACCAGAGTTCCCTGAGGTACTTCTTTTTTGTTTTAATAGCTTTATCAAGATACAAGTCACATCCCATACATTCAGTCATTTAAAGGGTATAACTCAGTAGTTTTTAGTGTATTGATGGATATTGTGCAACCATTACCACATTAATTTTAGAGCATTTTTGTCACTTCCAGAACAAATCTATACCCTGCATTTATTACCCCCTTGTTGGTCACCTCCCAACCCAAGGCAGCTGCTGATCTACTTTCTGTCTGTGTAGATTTTCCTATTGTGGACTTGCATATGAATGGGCTCATAGAAGATGTGGTCTTTTTGACTAGCTTCTCTTACTTGGCATGTTTTTAAGGGTTATCCTTGTCGTAGCCTGTGACAGTACTTCATTTATCTCCCCCTTTAGGTTCTTTTTAAGCCTGTGTTCCCGTCCGTGTGGCCCAGGGAGCTGCTAATCGCAGACTTGTGTTGACCCCCAGTATCACTGAGTGGATATTGCTGACTGTGTGCTGTGTGCCCATGGCAGGCACGCTGCTTTAGGCACGCAGTGTCTCCTGCCGTCTTTTCAGGGCTAGATCTCAGTGCTTTTAGATACATGTCACAGATGAGAACACTGAATTTCCTTTATTTTTACTGTGTCTGTTTAACTTACAGGTTTATTAATGCCAGAAGTTTCAGTTACTCTAATTGTTTTGTTTTCTGGTCCTGAAAGACAGGTCTCTTACCATTAAAGGCTCCTCCAGATTGAGAGATTTTTTTTACTGTGTCTTCACACTTTCTGCTGTCTACTCTGGAGTTAGAACATGTTGGCTTCCCCTCCTCCCCCACCCCCATCTTAATGGCAGGGAATTCTTCTCGGTGGGGTTTGCTGTGGGAAAGTGGACTAAGGTATTTTGTTGAAAGTTTAAGGACTTTAAATCTTAAAATTAAAGGCCTTGTAATGCAGACTCAGAGAGCCTTTCCTTCCTTCTTGTGTGGTTGAATTACTGCCTCCAGGATTCCAGACAGCCTGCTTGTTGAAAGGTTGTTCATAAGCCCAGGCATGCTTTCAATTTGACATTTTCCTTTTTCCTACAGGGATTAAGGCCTTTGGTTTCCACAGAAGCACCACCTATCATATTTGCCACACCAACCAAACTGAGTTCTGATTTTCCTGTATATGATTATGCTGGGAAAAACAAAGTTCCCGAGCTGCAGAAGTTTTTCCAGGTGAGAGAAGACACTAGAACGGACACTAGAGAATAAGTTCTTATTTCGGCCATGAGTTTTCTCCTAGTTATTTTTTGCTTGCTTGATATTAAAATTCACTGAGCTATTAGAAGTAGGGGAGGCTCGGGGCGCCTCGGCGGCTCAGTGGGTTAAGTCTCTGCCTTCGGCTTGGGTCATGGTCTCAGGGTCTTGGGATCGAGCCCCGCATCGGGCTCTCTGCTCAGCAGGGAGCCTGCTTCCTCCTCTCTCTCTGCCTGCCTCTCTGCCTGCTCTCTGTCAAATAAATAAATAAAATCTTTAAAAAAAAAACAACAAAAACAAAGTAGGGGAGGCTCTCTTGGGTTTGCTGATCAACAGAGAAGCCAGAATTGCGTTTTAGAATGTTATTAGCGGTGATCTACATCCAGATACCTGAGAGGTCAGTGACCCTGCATCTCAGGTGCTGTGGGGGCGGCACTGTGTTCCTCCTGTTGCAGCCTCAGAAATGTATGCAGATTCAGGACCGGTTTAGGGACTTTTGGTCAGTTGAATCCCTTTTTATCCATAAGTAAGACTTGATTGGGCAACTGGGGTCTTGAGTTGCTATGGGGGAGGGAGTTTGGAGACTGCAAAATAATGGATTCAGCATTTTTAAACAGGGCTTTAACAGCTTACTGGAAAGAAGCTGCATACAAAATGGACTAGAGCGCATTAACTGAGCTGGTGTGCTCAGACATCACTGGGAACGATCAGAGGTCAGACTAAATGTAGGGCATTTCTTGTGCCTGTGGTCATTTGACTGTGGATTACCTTTGCATTTAAAAGAAATCCACCGGGGCACCTGGGTGGCTCAGTGGGTTAGAGCCTCTGCTTTCGGCTCAGGTCATGATCCCGGGGTCCTGGGATCGAGCCCCGCATCGGGCTCTCTGCTCAACAGGGAGCCTGCTTCCTCCTCTCTCTCTGCCTGCCTCTCTGCCTACTTGTGATCTCTGTCTGTTGAATAAATAAAATCTTAAAAAAAAAAAAAAAAGAAATCCACCAGTGCTGCTTTCCTAATTGAGCAAGATACAGTAAATTATTTTGAAACGTGGAATTTGTTGCATGTGTGTTCCCGAGGCTCCATTTTGGAGAATGGCTTTGGCCTTACAGGCTGTGGCTGCGTTTATAAGAAAACGTATCCCGCTCTTTCTGTCTGCATTCTAATGGATTAGGGCTTTTTCCACTGCAGTGTGTTGATGGATTAGTTCTAAAGTAGAGACATTTGTTCTTATTAGCCTAAACTGTAAAATCTTTCTGTTATTAACCATGTCCTTGATAATTCTTGCTTTCCAGAAATCCGATGGTGTGCCCATCCACCTGAAACGAGGCTTGCCTGACCAAATGCTTTACCGGACCACCATGGCGCTGACACTGGGGGGGACCATCTACTGCCTGATTGCTCTCTACATGGCTTCGCAGCCCAGAAACAAATGACTTCAGGCTGCAGAGGACTGGTTTGCTTTTTGGCATAAACCCTTTGAATTTTCATTTTTCACTGCTCTGTAAACATTTTCTTTTTTACTTGAATGGTTTACTTAACATTTTCCCAGAGAAATAGGAAGATATCAAGGCAGTATTTTGGTTTATGAAATGCACATGGTCCATCAGAGCTCATTGGACAGTTAAAACTATTGCTTAAAGAAATGCTGCTGCTCCTTGGGCTCCTGATTTCCCTGGAGGTTCTAGAGGAAGGCTGCACACAGGCTCATTGATAGCAGTCTGGGCTGAGGTCCTTAGGGACTCAGAGTGGTGTTTTTGAGCATGGGGTACAGAGGCCTTTCTGGATTTGGATGTGATTGAGGAAGTAAGAGAGAAACCAAGGCCAGGAGTATGAAACAGAGGTTTATGCTAGTAGACACCTTGGGGGTTTTTCCTTCTTGCAGTAAAATGTTAAAAATTATTTGCAGCCTGACTCTGTTCATTGGACAGTTTGTTGCCAAGGGTTATTTGCCTCACCTCAGATCTTTAGTGAAATTTTATGTGTAATTGTATTCCACCTCGGGAACAGAAAACACCTGTTTAGTGTTGTACTTTAGACCAGTGTGTTTTATTAATGCAGCTGTGACACAAAGTCTCCTTTACCTTTTCAAAATGTTATGGCTTTAAATTATGACTTATTTTGATTGTGGAATAAATACATGAATGAAAAATCTCAGTTTTGAAGTTCCTTTGAATGACCTTTCACACTACTTTCAGGATACCAGAGGCATCTTAAACCCGAGTCTCATTTCTTTCTTTTTAATTAGACATCAGATAATCTTTACAGAATGGTTCCTCAAAGTCATGTAATAGGCTAATGGCATATTGATGATTACCATATGGTTCCTTATAAGAAAGCAGCTCGCCCCTTAGTGAAATGTGCCTGTAACACACAGTTCATTTAGACATTAATTTCCTGTGCTGTCACATTGGTAGACTTCACATACGTATGTTCTATGAATGCTGAGAAAAGGTGGGATTTTATTATATATAAAGTGGTAGTCTGTGTCTTGCTGTAGCAAGGAACAGTGACCTTTTGCTGAGGGTAAAATAAACACCCAGCAGAATACTCACAGGCTAGCAGGCCCTTACTTGTCTGTACAAAATCTAAATTTTATTCTTCTCCGGTATTTCCTCCAAGTTTTTATTTTTAAAAACTTCGGACTACAGAAGGATTATGAGAGTAGTATAGTATACACCTGTATAACCTTCACTTAGCAATATATTTGTGTTTTCTTGTTCTCTTATAAATGCAGGCACATATAATGAATGTATGTAAACTACATTTGTTCTTTGCTGAATCAATGAAGATTAAGCTATGGAATTATGATAATTCAGCCATAAAAACTGTAGGCAGTACCTTTAAGAATAAGGACATTTTCCTTTGTAACCATAATACAGTTGTCACACTCCATTTAACATTGATAACAATACTATGTAATACATATTCTATATTTAAATTTCCCCAGGCATCCCAACAATGTGTCCTTTATAGTTGTGTTTTTTAAAATAACAGCCTTAATTGGAATATAATTCACACACCATAGAATTCACCTGTTTCATTTTATCTTTTTTTTTTAAACGATTTATTTATTTTAGGGAGAGAGTGTGTACGCATGGGTGAGGAAAGGCGGAGGGAGAGGGACAGAGCATCTCAAGTTAGACTCCCTGCTGAGTGCAGAGCCCCATTCGGGGCTCGATCTCACCGCCCTGAGATGTTGACCCAAGCTGAACTTGAAAGTCAGACATTCAACTGGCTGAGCCCCCCCCAGGTGCCCCTACAATTCACCTATTTAAAGTGTATAATTCAGTGGTTTTTACTGTATACAGAGTTGTGCAACCATCACCACAATCAATTTTAAAACATCTCCTTACCCTAAGAGAAGGTTCTGTCCTGTTAAGTCATTTCCCCTCCCCCACCCCACTCCCACCTTAGCAACCACCGATCTATTTTCTCTTTCTCTAGATTTGGCTTCTTTGGGCATTTTGTGTAAATACGATCATTTGACACGTGATCGTCTGTGACTGGCTTCTCCCTGTAATGAGTTTGAGGTTCAGCCATGTTGTAGCACTTGTCATGCGTCAGTGCTTCATTCCTTTTTATGACTGAATGCGACTCCATTGTATCGATAGGCCACATTTTGTTTATCCTTTCTTCGGTTGACGGACATGTGGGTTATTTCCACTTTTTGACTACTATGAATATGCTATTAATGCTTTAATGGACATTGGTGTACGGGTTTTTGAATGGGCCTGTGTTTTCATTTCTCTCGGGTATGTACCTAGGATATACCCACGAGTGGAATTGCTGGGTCATGTAGTGACTCCGTGTTTAATTTCTGGAGGAATTGCCAGACTTTCCAAATCAGCTTTACCATTTTATATTCCTGCCAGCAGTGCTAACTGACTTTTTTTTTTTTTTTTTTAAGATTTTTATTTATTTATTTGACAGAGAGAGATCACAAGCAGGCAGAGAGGCAGGCAGAGAGAGAGAGGAAGGGGGAAGCAGGCTCCCTGCTGAGCAGAGAGCCCGATGCAGGGCTCGATCCCAGGACCCCGAGATCACGACCTGAGCCGAAGGCAGCGGCCCAACCCACCGAGCCACCCAGGCGCCCCTGACTTTTTTTTTTAAAGATTTTATTTATTTATTTGACAGAGAGACAGCAAGAGAGGGAACACAAGCAGGGGGAATGGGAGAGGGAGAAGTAGGCTTCCTGCTGAGCAGGGAGCTCGATGCGGGGTTTAATCTCAGGACCCTGGGATCACGACCTGAGCTGAAGGCAGACGCTTAACGACTGAGCCACCCAGGCGCCCCATGCTAACTGACTTTTGTTTTTGTTCTAGGTCCAGAAGCCAATCAAATGTTGTATTTAATTCCCGTGTCCCGTTAGCTTTTTAAAATCCAGAATAGTCCCCACTGTCGTTTATTGAAGAGTTTGAAGAGTTCAGGGCAGTGTTTTGCAGAACATCGTTCAACTTGGATTTGTCTTACTGTCTCCTTATGATGGATTGAGGGTAAACATATTTGTCAGAAATTCTTCAGATATGATGTGGTATTCTCAGCTTGATACCAGATTGTCCTATTATTAGCAATTTAAAGGTAGGGTAGCTTTATTCAGCTGTTGTCTGCCGGATTTCTCCCTTATAAGATACCCTTTCCCCTTTGTAATTAATAAGTAATCTGTAGGGTGGTATTGAGACTGGGAACATCCCATCGTTAGTTTACACGCAGTGTAGTAGTAATTGGTGATTCTTGCCTGAAGCATTTAATACTAACGTAGTTGTAAAAATGTGATTCTCCGTTCTATCATTCTTTCTGCATTGTTGACATTTCCCTGTGAAGATGAGCTCTCCTCTCCTCTTCCAGAGTTCTAGTGTGATTTCCTCACACTGGAATGATCACCGTCTCTGTCAGCATTCATTCCCGTGCTTCAGTGCACCCCAGATTTGGCTTCTGTGTCATGTCGACGCGCCCCGTCAAATGAGTCTCTGCCTCATTTTTCTGAATTATCCCACCTTATGAATACATCAGAATTTATTTAACTAGTCTCCTTTTGATGGGTAGTTAGTCATAAATTTTTTGCTTTTATAAGCACTGCTTTAGTATATGATCTTCCCGTGTCATCTTAAATGTTGTTGAATGTTTGTAGGGTAATTTCTAGAAGTGAGACAAGGCAAAGGGAATGTGTGTTTCTAGTTTTGATAGCTGGTCCTCACTGATAGAGACGGTGCTGGTGTGCATTCCTACTTAGCTGTGGTGAGGGTGCCGGTTCCTCCTCCCTTTTGCCAGCAGAATGCTCTATCAGACTTTTTATCTTTGCCATTCTGGTAAGTGGTAACATTTCTCTGGTTTCAGTTTTTCCAGGGGCACCTGGGTGGCTCAGTCAGTTCACCATCTGCCTTCGGCTCAGGTCATGTTCCGAGGGTTCCGGGATCGAGTCCCACATCAGGTTCCTTGCTCAACAGGGAGCCTGCTTCTCCATCTGCCTGCTCTGTCTGCAGCTCTCCCTGCTTGTGCTCCCTCTCTCTCTGACAAATAAAATCTTAGAGAAAAAGATAAAATTTGGGGGGCGGGTAAAAGTTTAGACGGAAAAGTGAAGTGAGAATCAGTAAAAGTTGAAGGAGAAATTTCTGTTACATACACATTTGTGTTTTTAACTAGATGGAGGGAGGTGTCTAATTGCAGTGCTATTTATGTGCCACTGAATACATTTATAATAGTTTACACCAATACCTGTCAGACACCCAAAACTATACTCTTTGCAGCTATTTAAACATAACATCTAAAATTTTTCATTGTAAGCTTATATATACAAAGGGGCGCACGTAGATTGTCAGAATTCTTTTCAGGTGCACAAGAGCGAGAAAGGTTGCAAATGGCTCCTTTATACTTCTCCTTTCAAAGAAGTGCCCCCTCCTTGGTTCTTGTCACCCAGATTTCCTTTCAGGGTCTGACTAGCTTTCCTTCTGCTGCGTGGGCTCTTGTCTGGTGTGGCTCTGATGTGAGACCATCGGGGGCCTGGTGAAGGAAGTGGTGGCTTTAAACACCGGCTGACTTTGATTTGTATACTTTTCCTTCCTTTTGTGTGTGGAGCTCTAGGCAGGCTCCCTGGGCTTGTTTGGTGTTGAGGTTTCCATTCCCCAAGTCTTCCAGACTTTTCTTAGAGTTGCAGATTGTGCAAACCTCTTATTTTCTGACCTGTTGACTTTGATTAGTAGAGGTTACATCAGGGGCAATGATTCATTGTTTAGAAATTGGGATACTACCTGCTCTCAGCAATTAATACATTTATTTGACATTTTGCCCAAATTCTGGGTTGCATCACCTTTTTTTTTTTTTTTTTTTTAAAGATTTATTATTTATTTATTTTGCAAGGGAGCAGCACGCAGAAGGAGAGGGAGAAGCAGGCTTTCCGCTGAACAGGGAGCCCTATGTGGGACTCAGTCCCAGGACCTGGGGATCATGACCTGAGCCAAAGGTGGACACTTAACGACTGAGCCACCCAGGCGCCCCTGGGTTGCATCAGACTTTAATCTAGCCCCCCAAATTGCCCAAGTTGGGTGTGGTTGGAAAGTGGAATCCTGTCCTCAGTGCTCTTCTTGTCAAGGTCATTGGCTGTCTTTGGTTGTCCAAGGCTCCTCTGACCCGGAGTTATCAAGGACTTCTACTCATCCTCTACTTCTGCCAGCTGTTTCATGAGGGTGCAAACGCACATGCTTTTAGGTGCCAGGGATCCAAAGATGAGTCAGATGTCTTTGTGCCGAGCACTGTGATTAAATTTAAGGAAACACCTTAAAATTTTTTAGGCCCTTTTCAGGGTCTCTGTTTCAGTGGCTTAGAATTGATAAACCATATGACCAAGAAACTCTTCTGTTACGGAGGAATTCTGCCGTTGTCCCTCACCTGTCCCAATCTGTGTGTTCCGTGTGGTCAGAGGGGGTCTGGTGCTGTGGGACAGACTGCCCCTGGCTGTGGCTTCTGTTCTGGGAAGCTTCTGGCACCTTGGCTATAGGTTGCCCCTGCTGTTGTGGAGGCATCAGCTGAGCCTTGCTCTTCTTACACGAGAGCAGCTGTGGTGGCTCAGCCACCTCCCAAGGTGCGGACAGGAGTGGGAGGGGTCATTTGCCTTTTCTGGCATCGGCAACTGTCAGCTGTCACTTGCATGAGCTTGAATC